ATCACAGCTGAAACCCATGTCTTGCATATGTCTGTGCGTGGTAGTTCTCTAAGCACTGACTTCAGCTGCAGTCCACTCTTTATGAATCTCCCCCACATGGTGGAATGGGTTTTGTTTCACCATCCTCTCCAGGTGCAGTTATCCCTATTGCTTGTACACTTTTTTCTACGACATCTTTTTTTTTTTCCTTCACCTCTATTAATGTGCTTGGACACAGAGCTCTGTGAACAGCCAGCCTCTTTAGCAATGACCTTTTGTGTCTTGTGCAAGGTGTCAATGGTCGTCTTTTGGACAACTGTAAAGTCAGCAGTCTTCTTCCATGATTGTGTAGCCTACAGAACTAGACAGGTGTTTTGAGTTAATTAGCCGATGAGAGTGTGGCACCAGGTCTCTTCAATATTGAACCTTTTCACAATATGCTAATTTTCTCAGATACTGAATTTGGGGTTGTCAGTCTGTTATAATCATCAACATTAAAAGAAATAAACATTTGAAATATATCAGTCTGTGTGTAATGAATGAATATAATATACAAGTTTTACTTTTTGAATGGAATTACTGAAATAAATCAACTTTTTCATGATATTCCAGCACCTGTATAATATATGAGCATATCTTAAAAGGTGTGGTGATATAAAGAGTTTGTTCAATGTCTTTCTGAGTTTTGTCCATGGAGCTGCACACTCTAAATCATGTGACCTCAGAGCTGCAGTCGGAGGGTGAGAAGTGTTCCAACAGGCATGAGGAACATGAGGAACTTGCCGTTTTTGTTTGCAAATTATGTTGCCATGGTAACTCAAAATGCCAATAAAAGTTATAGCATAAATCACGGGGCCGAGCCAGCCATTTTGATACAACAATTGTGGTGGTACATGTTGCGGTTCGGGCCGCATAAAAGTTGAGGGATATATATGTAATAGAATAAACTGTACCCACCCTCTAAACGTTCAGGGTAACACGTGTCTGAATTACGTCATAATTTCCCATCTATTCATTTTCACAGTGAATTGCCTTGCTCTCCTATGTATTGCAATGGAAGTCTTGAACTAGAAAGTTCGTAAAACTTTTGATGGGGCCTGCCAGGCTGCTGGCAAATTAAATTATTTATTTGACAGCACTATGTGTTGGGGTTCGTTCTCAGATACCTGTATACCAAATTTCATCTGAATAGCTCTAAAAATGGTTGAGTTATGGTATTTTTTTCCTCTTTTAGCTAAGGCGGCCATCTTGGATTTTTGATTGTCAGAGTCTAGGGGCCGTTTCCACGGCGCGTATTTTGAGTGCATCTGCAGCTTTCTCTCTGCAGTTCTGCTGATCATTTACACGACACCAGTGGCCCCCCCTCTTTGTATCCAGAGGTTTCTGAATCCACCTTCCAGGGTGGAGGTGTCATGAACCAGAGGCCGGATCGCAAACAACAACAACAACAACCACTGAGAGGGTTAAAAGGTTTATTGTGAAATAAAGTAAAACCCTGGAGTAGGTCCGGTTCTGGGCCGGTTCCGATCTTCTGATTGGTAGTTCGTGATTGGGTAGTGTTGAAGTGGCGGGCTGCCAGTAGAAGTAGAACTGATGTTAAGGTCCACTGGAACGGAGTCCAACAGGCTTGCAACTAAAAGATAAAGGTTAGTAGATGCAGGGGGAAAGAGACTAATTGGGGAAATGAATCTGTGGGAATCAGATTCAGGGATAAGGATAAGTCCGTGATACAGAATGAGCTTGACCTTTAATCCGTGATCCAAAAAACAGTCAGAAGGGAAAGGCAGAGTTCATACCGTGAAGTCAGTTGTTCAGCAGAAGTATCCAGTACGTGATCCAAAAGAGAGTCAAAAAACAAGAGCATGAGTCGGTACCTGATCAGATGAGCAAAAGCAGACGAGGGCTGAGGCAAAAGCGTGGTCGTGGTCAAGGCAAGGGTCATGAACGTGATGAGTCAATCAATGGAATGCTGGAAAGTCTACTGCTGATGAGACAGGATAGAGAATCTGGCCCAGACTGAGAGGAATGAGTGAACTTAAGTACTGACTGGACCAGGTGGTGGAGCTGTGGGATAATGAGCGGTGACAGGGGACATGAGTTGAGTGATTACTGAGTGTGCAGCATGACAGAGGAGCTGACAGAGAGCAGAGCTATGACAGGAGGTTTTTCGCTGACCCCCCGCTGATGATGTAAACATCTCCCGCTGAGGCTTTGTGTTAAACCACATGCGCACACGCATGCACGGACAGACGGCACATTTCTATCAACATGGCGGCGGACACACTGCTTTCAGAACCTCGACTGATGGAATATATTTTAATCTCATAGTTAATCTAAATCAGATTCCAGGTGCTGTGACCGATATCTGTGTTGGAAGAGACACAGTCTGATCCAGTTCTAATGTCGCTGTTTATAGAACGTGGCACGCGCACACATCGCGCTGCACTATAACATAAATGTGCTAAGCAGCATGCATCAGGATAAATGTGCTAAATAATAACAGTTTAATAATTGTAGTGTGTCAAGGACAGCTTTGCTGAGGACATATGGTCCCACCAAATGTGTTATTTAAAACACGTACGGTCCCACCAAATGTGGGGTGCAGCTTCGCTGTACCTTCACTACCAATTATTTAAATATAACGGGTTCTTTCTTTTTCGAGTTAAATTAATGCCATGTGACGAGGTAACTGTGAGGATTGTTTAATCAGTGACAAGAGACGTTAATTTTCCTTTGGCCCATCAGAATAAATGTGGTCATTTATTTAACAGAATCAAAATTTAACATCAAAACATGTACACTTGATTAGCTGATCTGGTTCTGATTAATAAAACTTGGCATGCTTTACTAATAAGACAACAAGACATTTCTGAAGGCATCTAGATTACTGGCAAAATAGAAGAGTTTAAAGGGAGGGGTTTAGAGGTTTAAAGAAAAGATGGGTGAAGAGAGGTGTATGTTGATGACCAAACTTGGCACGCTTCTTTCAATCACCAGCTCAAACCTCCGGTACACTTAGCACGTCACGACTCGTTACCTTTGCAGGAGATAAATCAGCTCCGGTGTCGGGTCCATTTCAACGCTAACTTCCAGCGTCTCCGGTTAGAGCGGCTAGTCATCGTCAGAAGTCGTGTTGATTTACTCCGTTCAACAAACAGGCTCAGCTCCCTTCGAAGTTGAAGGCGTTACACCCGGGTGGATTCACAGCAAGTATCTGTGAGCCCGTCAGAGTTTCTACTCAGAAGTGGAAGACTTCACAAGGCCTGAGAAGACTCCATCAAAGACAGAGTTCAACTCAGATCCAAGACTTCAGAAGAACGGAGTAGACTTTTAAGACTCCGTAGGCGGAGTAGACTAGAAGACTGAATAGTTCCAGGAAGTGTCGACTTTTAAAAGAGTTCTCACTTCCGGTCACTTAGGACTTCCTGATTGGTTGAAACAACCAACATGGAGTGGTTCTAGTGATGTCAGAGAGTTATTAAAAGTCAACAGAGAGTTCAGGAATGTTTAGGAACGTTTAGTACAGACAGAGAAATGTTATGGCGAAGTGAGAGGAACGCAGATGCCAGTGTTTCTCTTTTTACTGTCTGCTAGGTTTAAAAACAATATATCCCATTCTAATAACTTCTTTCTGACTGTCTCTGACTTTTGACCGACATCACTACTTCTCCTTTAGACAGAAAATGAAAATGCATAATTACTTTGTAAATAGACATTTAACTTGATTTCTCATTTAAATGAGGTTTAAAAATCATTAATACTGTTTCACAGTTGATTTAAAATGAGTGGTTCACTTCAACTTTAGAAATGATATGAACTAAACACACTTTGATTATCAAGATATTGTAAAATAGTGATGATAATATAAAACGAAGAGTGTTCTTTCAATTGATTACTTCAGGATACAATTAGACAATCTCTGGATGAGCTAATTTGTATTTCTGGATGCAAATCAATGAAATAACAGTTCCTGTCCCATGAAGGTCTTCAGAGGCAGGTTTTGGTCGGAGGCCTAGTTCACTACATAATAATTAACAGTATTTATGTTAGTGTGAGATATAATGAAGCTCTGAGCTAAATGAAGCTATCTGGACATTATGTAATTCAAATTTAAAATGATGCTAAACATATAGCGTGAACACTAAAGTTGAAAATGAAGACATCAGGTTTAATTTTTATTTATTTATTCAACACCATAAACTGTCTGTCACACAGACACTGATAATTAAACTGAACACACTATTAAAACAAGTTAACTGTAAACTACGTTAATGAACAACTGGACTCTTGTTTTCATCCTGGAATCTGGTTCCACGTTGTTCATCTGGCTCGTTCAGGCTGTCACTCCTTAAAACATTAAATGGATTGAATAAAACAACTGAGGGGAAATTTAAATAAATAGTTCATCCAACATCTCTCTCTTCAACGTCCTCCTGCACTGCACCTGGGCCAAGCCTCGTTCAGAACCGGTCCACCTGGTGGGAGATAGCGGCTTCTTCTTTCAGGAAAAAATAAAAACTGTAAAAATAAAAATAAAATTAATTAAAAATAAATAACTGAGTTAGTTAGTCTGCCCTCTTCCTTGCTGTTTTCTCAAACTCTCTAACAAGTTTGAGGCAATCCTGGCCAAAGTGGTTCTCTTTCTCTCCCTCTCTCTCTCTCTCTCTCTCTCTCTCTCCCTCTCTCTCTCTGTCTTTCAGAAGATTTCAGTGAAAAAAAAATCCTATTAAAAATCAAGTCAAGTCAACTTTATTTATAGAGCACATTTAAAACAGAACCTGTTATCAAAGTGCTTCAATAATAAATTTGATTATACCCTGAGCTGTGAAGAGTTTAAATCACACTTCTTTGATCAAATACTAATCTTTCCTAAACTACATCAGATGGGTCTAAATTCAGTGAAATATTTACAAGTTGCCATGGGAACACAGAAGCTAAAGGATGTAGTGCTGAAGAGCGGTTCAGTTCGAGCTCTTATTTTGAAGACCAGCAGCTAACGGAAGTGATGTTCTCCCAGCACCGGAAGCTGCTCGGTTCTGACGGTCATTGTTGTTCTGCTCCGTAGCTACGAGCTGAAGGTCTTTCCTCTCGACTGCTGCTCAGATGAGTAGAACTGAACGTTAAATTGAGCTGTAACAGCTCGGTGAGTGTTGCTGACCGGAAGCTAACAGATGTGGAGACAGCGGCTCAAACAGCGCCTGGAAGCAGACGAAGAAGAAAAGTGGGAGGAGTTTGGAAGAAGCGCTGCAGCTCAGGAACAAACGGAGGGAGACACATCCAGACGCTGTTTTCAGTCCCAACCATCAACTGCACATTTCAGGTTTGTGACGTTATTCTTTCTCTCGTGTGTGTTTATGTTACAAGTTAGCAGTTTGCTGGAAGCTAAAGGATTTAGCTTCTTAGCTCTCTGCGCTGATCCAAAACAAATAAAGCGTGAACGACTCAAGTGAACCGGTGTTCTGTCCGTTAGTCATACATTGTCAGATTGTCATACGTAGCACAAACTGACGGCTATATCTGTCGGGTCACCATAGCTTGTCAGGTCGTCATATCAGCCTGATATCATCCATATGACACCATGTCACCTGCCAAACACCGTCACTGGCAGTTACCAAGCCCGGATCTACCATACGGGCAACCTGGGCACGTGCCCAGGGGCCCTTGGCACAAAGGGGACCTTCTGCTGCCGGTGGAAATTTTTTTTTTTTTCCCTGTAACCGAGCGGGCTCTGACTCCCCTCGTCCGTACAGCACGGTGAGGGAGCATGGTGGTGAAGCTACTCACAATAACGGTCGCGATGGGGCAGTGAATTTCCGGTTTTCAAAATAAAACACAAACCCCCCCCCCCATAAAATTCACATATCTCACCTTATTTTTGGTGCCTTTACTGTAGAAACCTTCCGGTCCGACACCGGAAGTGTCAGTAACGCGTTTTTTTTTTTTTGTAAGTTATTTGCATCAACAAAGTCCATGCTCAATAATCCAGGTATACAATCCAACATTTTTCAGTCAGGTCATCTGGACAGTTTTTTTTTTTTGTGCTGAAACGTTTCGCCTTCGATCCGGAAAGCTCCATCAGTCAAGGAAACGCACAACACAAAACTGATTCTTCCCCCAACAGCTTACTCCAAACTGAAACAAACCAGTTATGTTGGTGCTAAGATGGTCTCTTTGGTACGCCCCCTCCTCCATTGCTGGCCTTCCTTGTGGACAGTCTGTCAAACTGGTTGAAAACAACTAAGTCCATGCTCAATAATCCAGGTATACAATCCAACATGTTTCAATCAGGTCATCTGCACAGTTTCTTTTTTTGTGCTATTTGTATTTAGTTTATCAGCGCAAACGTTGTTTTTATTTAAATATAAAGTTTACTAAAATGTCCCACCTGCTGTTCGCGGCTGAACGAACAACCAGACCGATCTAAGACCACAGCAAACAGTGTTTTGAGCATGGACCCAGAAGAAACCACTCAAAACGCTGTTTCTGTGCTCATTTCACTTTGTAAACAAACGGACTCTCTGAGTTTCCACTCACGGAGTTTCATAAATTTGTATCCTGCCTACAAAAAAGACAAAGACCAGAAAAAACTTCTAAAGGTAAGAGCCATTGTGCTTTCTGTGAAGTGAGTAGGCCAATAAACTGTTGTGGTTGTGCAGATAATACAGTGCTCGTCATAAAATTAGAATATCATGAAAAAGTTCTCCTCCTTGAATCGCCACCTTATCGTGGTGGAGGAGTTTGTGCGCCTGAATGATCCTAGGAGCTATGCTGTCGGGGGCAATTATAGTAGAGCTTTAGAGCGTGACGTCACCTGTCCGCGGCGGCTGATGGGATAGGATGGGGCCGCATCCACCGTTCTTACAGTCCTCCATATTAACTGTCGAAAACAAGCTTTCTCGCTGACTTAAAAAAAAAATCTAAGTAGGTTAAAACAGTTTAGCGATGGTCCGAAATTGCTGCGTTATTGGATGTAATGTCCGGTCACACGACTGGAATTGTAAAAAGATCAAAAACTGACTTTTTTAATAGATTCTCCACCAGGAAACAACGTGAGGAGCTCATGTGTTGGACGTAACAAAAAGGAGACGTCCTGATAACTTTCTCCAGCGTCCCAAGAGACCTGCTAGTTTGTTCCAGACATTCTGGTGAGTGTCTAAATTCAGTTTGTTGGTGTTGTGCCATAAATGTGTGCCATGATTATGTCGGAGTGTTCTCATGTTTAGTTCATGTTCATAGAAGTGGGTCAACCTGGTTTAGGTCGGGTTTATATTTAGCATGTAACTTAGTCCGAGTTTAGACAGAGTGGACATCTGTGTTATTGTGAAATAAACTGTTTAAAGTTTCTAGTGTTGTCACTTTTACTGTAGTAATACTGATGTGTGTTGTGATATGTCCTGTTCAAGACAAACCTTCAGATGAAACTCCAGGAGAGGAGCTCAGTGAGGCTGCAGATGATGGAGAGGAGGAACAGGAACCAGCAGCAAAAAGCTACAAATACAATGTGTGAACAAAAGAAAAGCAGAAATAAACCACCTGTTACAGGAGAACAGGGAGCTCAGGTCAGAGCTGAATCAAAAACAGCTGGACAAAGAATTTTTATAGTATTAAATATTATACAGGACTTCATTGCTTTGCCAAATTGTTGTCATTGTTTAACACTGTTGGGCATTTTCTGCCAGCATTAAAAAAAAAACCTCACAATTTCAAATGGTTCTACAAACACTAATGCATCCTGTTCAGTATCTTTGCCATCTGTTTACGGTGTCACATAAAACTCTACCTGTGTCTTTCTTTTCTTTCCAAGGGATGGACGTCCATCAGACAAGCTCATAACAGAAGCTGTGGCCTTCTCTCCAGATTATTGCCCGGGGACGTTGTAACAGAGGCTTTGATATTAAAGACAGTGTGGAAGTCAAGGTCAAGGTTCTTTATTGGCATTCACATCACATGTTGTACATGAGGTGGAACAAAACTGTGCACAGGGTCCCAGTTACATCCAACCAAAGTATAAATGAATGATGTGCTGAGGTTCAAATCCCATCAGTCACTAAACGGAGATGTGAACTTGATGCTAAGGATGTTGAACACACACGAGCACACCTTAGAGTTCATGTGGAAACAGTGACTGGTTGCATGAGAAACACAATGTTACACAGAAATATACCAGTTAACTATACTGGTGCTTACATGTAAATATACCAGT